CACTCGCACACGTACACACACGCACACCTTCGCTACCCAGTTCGACTCGAGCCCGTTAACAGTACGTCTTTATGTGCCCTGCTGTTGTGATTTCGTCTGTTAACTGAGCGTTAGTGGATTAATTTATTTATTGTTATTATTATTGTTATTATTTTTTTATCATTATTATCATTTTTATTATCCTTATTATTGTTATTATCATCATTATTATTATTATTATTGTTATTATTATTTGTCTTTTAGGGCTTCTTGAGTTTTCGTCTTTTTATTTATTTCTCTAATCATTTATCTATTTATTTATTTTATGTCTTTTTTTGTTTAGTTTTTTAGTCTTGAATTTTTGCTTCTTTGACTCATAATGTCTTTATAACGCAGAGGCTCCCAGTCACATACACTCTTGTCAATTGCAAGTCGTCTGGATGCAATCAGATGCACTCACGCACGCACATATGCACACGGACACGGACACGTACACAGACACACTCTCTCGCTCTCTATTTCTCTTGTCTTCGCTTGTCTTTCTCATTCGTGTTTTATTTCGCGTCTCTTTCCGTGGCGTTTCTCTTTCTTTCTCTCTTGTTTTTTCTTTTGTCTCTTTTCTTAGTTCTTTCTTATTTCTCTTTCTCTTCTCTCTTCTCTCTCTCTCTTTCTCTTCTCTCTCTCTCTCTTCTCTTCTCTCTCTCTTCTCTTCTCTTCTCTTCTCTCTCTCTCTCTCTCTCTCTCTCCTCTCCTCTCTCTCTCTCTCCTCTCTCTCTCTCTCTCTCTCTCTCTCTCTCTCTCTCTCTCTCTCTCTCTCTCTCTCTCCCCCTCCCTCCCTCTCTCTCTCTCTATTTCTCTCTTTCTCTCTCTCTCTCTCTCTCTCTCTATTCTCTCACACACAACACACACACACACACACACACAGTCTCCTTCCCTTCCTCTCCCCGCTCCCTCCTCATCCCCCCCCCAACCACCCTTCCCCCTCCCTCTCCCCCTCCCCCTCCCCCTCCCCCCATGCTTGCACTTGCACCTCGGGGTGGATGTACCAGCAGTTGACTGTTGACTATTGTATTCCATGATTAATGTGGCGGATCTGTTTGTTAGCAAATATGCTGGCGGCGGCATATCCCCCTGGACGGTCTTACCCCCCCCCCCCTTCTTCTCTCCCATTGCTCCTCTCCTCAGCTCTATCGTCACTCCTCTCCTCAGCTCTCTTCTCATCTCTCTCCTCGTGTCTCTCGTCACTTCTCTCCTCACCCCTCTAGTCACTCCTCTCCTCATCTCTCTCCTCGTTTTACCCCTCTCCTCGTGTCTCCCGTCATTCTTCTCTCCTCATCTCTCCCCTCACTTCTCTCCTCATCTCCTCACTCCTCTCTTCTCCTCACACCCTACCCCATCCTCGATTCCTTACCCTCTCCCCCCCCCCCCCCGAAATGCACCCCCGCCCCTTTCCCCTCATCCATACCCCGCACCGCTACCTTCCACTCCTCTCCCCCCACTACCCTACCCCCCCCTTCACTTCACTTCCCTTGTCCCTGTCCCTTCCCCTCTGCAAATACACCCCCGTCCCACTTCCCTTCCCCCCTCCCATGCCCTCACCCCCCGTCCCACTCCACATCCCCTCCCCTCACCCCCTATCCCATGCCCGTACCCTCCCCCCTCCCCCCTCTACCCCCATGAGGCCACCATGTTCAAGGCCAGCGGGAGTCAGGCGGTGATCTTTGTGTTATAACCTACTATGTTCTAACTGGAGGTCACTTTGAGCGCATACTCAACTGGCCAGCAACGGCGAGAGAGAGAGAGAGAGGGGGGGGTGGGGGGAAGGGAGTGGATGGGGGGAGGGAAGGAAGGAGGGAGGGAAAGGGGGGAGGGGGGGTGGGAAGGGAGGAAGGAGGGAAAGGGGGGAGGAGGAGGGAAGGGGAGAGAGAGAGAGAGAGAGAGAGAGAGAGAGAGAGAGAGAGAGAGAAAGGGATGGAGAGAGGGAGAGGAAGGGTTAAGGGAGATAAGGAAAGAGAGTGAGAGGATGTGTGCAGTCCTTCCATTCAGTTGCCTCTCCCCTTTTTCTTTTCCTTCTCCTCCTCCTCCCCCTTCCTTCCCCCCTCCTCCCTTTCTCCCTCTCCCCCTCCTCCCTTTTCCCCCTCCCCCTTTCTCCCTTCCTCCCTTTCCCCCATCCTCCCTTTCTCCTTCCCTTTACTCCCTCCTCCCTTTCCCCCATCCTACCTATCTCCCTCCTCCCTTTCCCCCTTTCTTCCTTCCCCCCCCCCCTCCTCCCTTTCTCCCTTCCATGCATAGCCCAAGATACAGTCCCCTGCACATGGCTCAGGTTTCTCGAGAGTTATATCTTATACTTTCCTCGGTTTGCATGAAGAGGGTTCGTGGTCAAGGGGAGAGAGAGAGAGAGAGAGAGAGAGAGAGAGAGAGAGAGAGAGAGAGAGAGAGAGAGAGAGAGAGAGAGAGAGAGAGAGTGTTAGAAAGACAGAGAGAGAGAGAGTGGTGGGGGGGGGGCAGAGGTAGAGGCAGTTTTAGAAACCAGGATAGAGAGAGAGAGAGGAGGGGGGAGGGAGAGAGAGAGAGAGAGAGAGAGGAGGGGAGAGAGAGAGAGAGAGAGAGAGAGAGAGAGAGAGAGAGAGAGAGAGAGAGAGAGAGAGAGAGAGAGAGAGAGAGAGGGGAGGGAGAGAGAGAGAGAGGGAGAGAGGGAGAGAGAGAGAGAGGAGGGGAGAGAGAGAGAGAGAGAGAGAGAGAGAGAGAGAGAGAGAGAGAGAGAGGGAGGGAGGGTGGGAGGGAGAGTGTTAGACAGACAGACAGAGAGACAGAGACTGAGACAGAGAGAGAGAGGTGGGGTGGGGGTGGGGGGGCAGATATAGACAGTTTTAGAAACCAAGATAAGGAGAGAGAGAGAGAGAGAGAGAGAGAGAGAGAGAGAGCGAGTTCGTGAATATCCAATTTAGACCTAATAGCCCCTGACCACAGCGACCTCTGACCTCGCTGGGACTCTTAAAGCCCATTCTTGATCCCAGGTTACAGAATGGAGCCTCTAATGACAAATTCAGTGACCCCGCGATGGCATCAGAACCACATGGTAAAAGCTCCTTACGTCACGAGTAAAAAAAACAAACAAAAAAAAACAATAATAATGAAAATAATAATAATAATAAAAATAAAATAATAGTAATAATAATAATAATAAAATATTAATAATAATAAAATATTAATAATAATAATGATAATAATAATAATGATAATAATAAAAATAATAATAATAATAATAATAATAATAATAATAAGATAATAATGATAATAATAATAATAATAAGATAATAATGATAATAATAAT